ACAGTGTGATAACAAAGAACCGCAATAATAATGGCGATGTGAGCTGTAAAGGAGGAAGCACCTCAAGAGGCCCTGCTTAGCATCCTCCACTCTCTGCATTTATCACACATATGGTAGTGGTGGTAAGTTACAGAATAACAATTTTAATGTTCAGAATAATATAAGGGATGGTCTTCTAGCCCCGTGTTCTACTTTCTGAGCAAGTCTGGTCTGCGAAGACAGAGCAGGACAGTCATTCCATCTCCCCACAAGAGGCAGTAGAAGTGGTACAGCCAAGATGCTGCAGTGAAAGCCATGAACCACAGGTTTGTTCTAAATCTCTGAGGGTCTCAAGGGGTCAGGCTGTCATCTTGGCCATGTTAAGAGGCAGCACTTCATGTCCCAAGTTTAAAGGGCAGGATCCAAAGATTCCATTTTTCAGGGTTTTTTTAAAAAAAGATTGCATTTCATATCCTGAAATGAATGTGTTAACAACTTTCTATTTGCAGTGGAAGTACATTTGATTTCCTCCATTGAGCAAAGCTCAAACCATATTTGACAGAGTTTCTCTTTCTTTCCCTCGCTTTCTTTCACACACACTCATTAAATTTCCAGGACTTCCTTTAGGCATTTTATATTCATGCCCAATCTGTGAGACATTATATACATGAATTTACCAGTATAATTTTCTAAGAGCTACAGGGAAACTGCTGCACTGGGATTATTCATACTTCTTGCTGCTAACTTGTACCATAATAATACATGGTGACTGCTTATGGTATAATTAATGTCTATCAAGAATACCTGGAACATACAGGATCCCTTTTATCCATATTCCCAGGGTCACTTCACTCAGAATTACAAATAAGAGTGTAACACAGGGAGACAGTTTCTAGTTTGTCAGAAATTGATGGTACTCCTGTAATGGAACTGTAAGTAAAAGATCCCTCAGAAATAGTTCATAGGTTGCAGTCACTTAAGCAATGATAAATTAGCAGAGAATAGGCTAGGCACATAACAAGGCTCTAAAGAGATAGTGCTTGAGCAAACGCCAGAAAGCAACTGGTACTTCACATAATTTTATAAATCTTGTCTATCTAGCCAAGCATGCTAAATACATTTGGGTGAATATTATTTTACATATGCATTTTATCTTTTTCCCTGCAAAAACAGTCCCTCTAGTATGGTGGTTACTCACAGGAATCAAAGATGGTGAATAATAAGCCCTTTATAATAGTATACAATTGGAAATTTCTGGAGATAGCCGTTTCTGATGAAAAGCCAGGCTACAAAGTATGCAAATACTAGGACACACAGGTCACTTTAAGGCTCTGCCCCTGGTAGTAATCACAAGTTCCTTATTAAAGGAAGCACTGTAATAGAGCTTTAGCTTCATAGGAACAGTGGAACAATGTGAAGTATTTTATACAACAGGTCTGAAGGTGTAGGTGAGTTTCCATTTCACTTTATTTGCAAGAAAATAATGTATAAGATCCTGGTATAAAACAATATTTATTCATGTTTAGATGAAGCTTTCCATGTAGCAGCTTTGAAGGACACAGTAGTTATAAAATAGCAACACATCCTCCCTGTATAAAGATAATGAAACAAGAGACTCAAGCTGGTGAAACTGTTGAGGGATTATCCAAACTTCTGGATACTTTATTCAAACTTGTATAGCACAGAAGCAACAGATCACTTTTGACAAAAAGAAAAGCACAAGAAAAATGTGCTACACTTTCTTGATAAGAACTGAACTTTATATATACCTACATACATGTACCTATATGTAATTGTAATATGTGAGCATTATCTGCTTGTGATTACAATTCAATAATACTGTTAATGTGCTTTTTATTCATGTTTTTTACTATTCTATATGGTATGAATTATGACAAAATTGTGCACATCTTCTTTGATGATCATGATCTTATGTTCCCAAAAATGTATGAGTGAAGCAAGATCTAATAGGAACACTGTGTGAATGGCTAGATTATCTGAGACATATCCAGAAATCTTGAGTTTTTTATATCACATGTAAAGCAAGCATAGCCTCTTACTGCCATGCAACCTTCCCAGCAGCAAACACTTAAACTACAAATGGTTTTCATTTCTAAAGAACAGATGCTTATTTTAATAATTTAAAAAACCCTCTAAAGGATGCATTTTCCAAGTTCTACTCAGTGTATTGTTTCAGGAACTGACATTCACCGATCTTGGGGGGAAGAGAGATTTTAAAAGGTCACAAACAAAGAAAGATATGGGGGGCAGCAGGACAGCAATATCCTGCTGTTGCATGAGCTGCACTGGGAGGCAGCCCCCCAACCTGTCTCTCATGTTATCCATGGTCTGAAAAGAAGTCTGCATGAATATTCATAGATTCAATAAAGGAAGATACATTCATGAGCAACAAGCTGAATACAGGACACACAGAAATAGTTGGCATTCATTTAAATGATCATCTGTCATCTGCTCATTTTTGTTTGCTCTGCCTTAATTTGAGTCAAGCCAGACTCACTAGTATGCTCCCTTCTTTCCACTCTTAATAGGATCATGCTATAAGTCTCTGTTTTTTTAAATGTTCTGTATTGAATTTTGTGATTTCCGCTCTGTTGATCCTCAAAGATAAAGCTATAAAGGCTACTATACATTTAAATATATACTGAAATAAAGGTAAGATAAATAATAGACTATTTGGGATGTAGAGAGATTCTTGTATTTTTTGCAACCAACCGACAGTAGAACAGCAGAGATTTTAGAAGAGACTGTATATCCTGTATGGGATATGAAATGTAACTGTACTCATAGTAGTTCAGGAAAGACAACACAAAATCAACATATAATTAACTAATTGAATAATCATCATCTTAGAACTGCAGAGTGGGAAAGGAGCCTGCGAATAATCTCCATAATTACAAGATGTAACAATAACCATGAACACACAAGATACTTCCAAGAGCTGCATATTTCTAATGGGCAGATCAGTTTTTCAGATTTGAGTATTATGAACAAATGGTATGAATTCTGCATGAACGGACATCTAATTCTCTATAAAAGTTTTATTTTGTATTATTTTGTATGAAGCATTCCTTCACATATGATGCCACCTGGATTCTGCAGTGATACATTCCCGATACAGTAAGCAATACAGAATAAATGTGGATGAAAATCATGTGGATGAAAATCATAGCTATTTTAAAGCCACAGTTGGAATGGCTGCCAGATAAATTAGTAATATTTTAAAACTCAGGTTTATAATTCTAGATTACCCTTTACTGCCTAAATTTTGGTTAACTTTCATATTTAGGTTTCCATGAATGTAAATGATGTTCTAGTTCCTATCTGGATAATTTGGTATTTGAAAATCACTTGTTTGTGAAAATAAGTACAGAAAATAATGAACAAGAATTGACTGTAAGTACTACAGGTAAAAGTGTTTTGTTCCTGAAGTATGCAATGAACAATTACAGGTTTACGTCAGAGAAAAATCAGGAACTGGCAATCAGTAGCACAGATGGGAACAAGGTCACAGAAGGTCACAAAGGGGCCTGCAGTAAGAGGGTTGTTCTGAAAAAGGTTGTTAAAGGAAAAGAATTGAGGCATTAACTGGATCAAAATTCAGGAAACTAAAAGAAATCTGAGACACGGCAATGCAAAATGTACCAATAAGAACTCAGAAAATTACCTCTAATGTTTCTCCTAACCAAGCATACTAATTTAAATTTAGTCTTATCTTTTGTTGTGTACTATAGCTATTCTGACTTTTTCCTATCAATGCATATGTATTTTGAACTGGTATCAGGAGCATCATAACCCTCAAATTATTTAATCAAAGCAAACACACACACTCTCACTCTCTCTGTCTTGCTACAGCCGTGCCAGATCTTGGGACCTCAGGAACTCTGTGGCTGGTTCCCAAGTGCAGGAGGACTGGGGCAATTAGAAAATGCAACTACAGGATTTTCTGTATTTTCAACCACAGTAATGGGAAGGCAACTATTCATAACCCTTTCTCACAGAGGTGTTTTCAGAATTCAAACTGCCATTCTCAAGCTGTTATTTGTCCCAGAATTCAAACTGCCCTTCTTGATCTTGCTGTAGGGCAAAGAGCAGTTAGGAGGCAATTCTGATGTGGAATCCCAGCAAAGCTCCATTTACCTTTTTGAAATCATTGCAAGAGATCCAGTTAAGGCCCTTGGGATGTCATGTTTCATCTGTTCCTCAAACCTCAGAAGTCAAAAATGTGCCTCACTGAGGCTAGAAAGAGATAGTAGTTACAGATCATAAGTGGAAGGTGGAAAATATTGAAAAATTTAAAATTTTAATGTGAATCATGGCACAAGCTTTTCTCAACTCTGGAATTATGCAAATTAGTTTGCTTCATCTGGAAATTGTTCCTGACGTTCAAGCATGGAATTTATTTGACATCCAATTTCACAAATGCAGAAACTGCCTGAATCACCTCTTTGCAAGAACAGCAAAAAATCTAGAGAAATAAGCATGTACTTTCTTTGGACCCCTCTTAAAAAAAAACTTTGAAAACTATTCTTAATAAAAAAAAGGGTTTCCATAATTATGCTGTAAATCACCCAGAGCTTTAGCACTATGAAGCAGTATATAACTCAAAACAACAACATTAATGTGCTTTCAGATGTTAATTTCTAAAGTCAGTTTATTTCTAAAGTCTGAATCCAGCCTAACATTCACAACCTTTTCTACAACATCTCACAACTACTGTAGTTCACCCAGAATAAATTCGGAAAAAGTCAAACATGTTTCTTAATAAATTATTGTATAGTAATGTATCTATAATAAAAGAATGCTTAATTTGCGTAACATAGATATACATATTTCAACTTTTTGGAAATTTGTGCTGACTGTTGAATTTTATTGTATAAGCCAAGCCTATGTTCACAAAAGGAGACACTGTTATTGTTGTTGTAGGTAAGTAATAGGACACCAAATTCCTAATCAAAAGCCTGTATCAAAATTCTTTAAATGAATGCAGTGAAAGACAAACATGGAGAAAAATGTTTATTTGTTATATTTTTATTACCAAAAAATTGTGTACATAGCATATCAGTCCTTTACTGTTCCAATCAAAAAATATAACAAATGCACAACTTGCAACTTTACTGAATTAATGATATACTTCACCCTTTTATAAATTATTATATACAGACACAGGCGACTATAATTGCATGTTTTGTCACTGAGGAATTGTAAGAAAGAGATAAAAGCACTCTACCATGTAGGTAACTGCAGTGGAACTCACTCATCTAATGGAGAACTGACCCATCTGTTCATTATTTAGACGGCAACACCAGAAAGTTCTCTTAGTAAAAGCAGAGAACACCACATAGTTGGAAAGGAAGATATTGAGTGCTTGAAAAAGAAATCAGGACAAAGGGGAAATACTGAATTGACATAAAATTATTCCTTTTGGCTGTGGAGCAGTATCTTGGACCATTTAGTTTTCTCTTAAATTATGAGACTGCTGGGACCATGCAGCTTCTTATTAACCTATTCACCTTATATGACTTTGTTTTACAGCCAAAGAAGTACTCAACACAGCATCTGGCTCCATTCAACCATTAAGCAAGGAAATTGTTACAATAAATGTTCTAACATGTCCCTCCCCAAATAATCTGATTTTGTCATATCTTGCGAAGCTAACGGCAAGTAACAAGTCAATTAAATTTTCATTTTCTTCCTTTTCTCAGAATATCTTCTCATATAAAGGACCAATTGCTGCAAGAACATTTCCCATATCCCACTGAAATAATACAGAGTTGAGAGAAACTGTAGTGGTAGCCTTGCACAAGTCCCATTTGGTTCTCTGAAGACCCTTCTCCTGTACTGGGCCTTCATTCTTAAGATTTTATGAAATCTGAGTTTTGACAAAATTACCCATACATATTAATGCATGCCTTACATGTATGTTATAGCAAAGTATGAAATTATATGCAATATTCTGACGAAACAACATAGATGTATTTCTCTGTATGTATCCCAGCATCACCACAAAACCTGTGCAATACAAAATCATTTTTAAAAGCTGTTTAACCATTTCATAAATATAAGGCCCTTGCTATAGGTTTCTACAATGTAAGAATAAGATAAAAGTTCCCCCATTGCCTTCTCTATATTTTATCTTGGCTTTTTAAAAAAAGCTTTCTGTAGTGCTACTCATGCTTTGTCCCCCACTTTAGCCCCACCTAAAAGGAGACATGCTCTTGATTCTCCCTTTATTACTGTCCCTAGGGCATCTTTGCTATCTTTGCTTTTCTGCATGCTCAAACAAGAACCTGAAGGGGAGGGAGGCACTGCAAACCTAACACTAAAAGATTGAAGGAGCCATAGCAACTTCAATAGGAAAATCTCTCCCCATCCTCATAACAGTCTCATATAGCTGTGGAATGTCCTAAGGAAGTGGTTTACATAGGAATTTCTCTTTCTCTCAATCACCCTCCCCCTCTCTCTTCCAAAATATATTTAGGATTATCTCTATAAAAATTGAAATAAAAATCGGTATATATAAATCTGGCATTTTCAAATAAGCCCATAAATCAAAAGTTCAACCCTGAACATGAAGCAGGAGAAATGAATGTGTTTACCAGTTTCTTCCTTGTGCAATGATTAAAGTTTACATTCTGCACCAGAAAGAAAATATCTTTCTTTTCAAGACTGATCTTCACATAACCTAATTTTGTACATGTGTGCACATGCACACAGACACAAACATGTATAAACATATGTTTGTGTATGTGTACAGAGAGAGAGAGATTATGCTACTCTATATGTTACATCCAGCAATTCCAATTCCTTGGAGGAAGAGAAGGAGGATATTCACTCTGTATATTTTCACTCTAATCATCAAAACATAATCCTCTCTCATCATCAGTGGAATCTGCATAGGATTCTACTGTACTGTATATGAAAGTGTAGAGTTTGACTTCTGGTCTTGGAGTAGAGCAACACCTGCATTCCTCATTGTAGTATCTGAGCAACAGTCTGTAAACATCCCCTTGAAAACAGAAAAACAAAAACAGAAGTCAGTCATTTTAAAATAGAAGCTTCAGCAAGGTTTACAAGCATGAACACAAAGAGCCCACTATCTGCACTTGATGGCAACTGAGTCTATTGCTCATAAGGAAAACTAGTTTCACAAATAGGAGGACAGGTTGCTCACCTGTAACTGAAGTTCTTCAACTGGTTATCTATTAATTCATGCTCATGGGTTCTTCTGCACCTGCAGAGAAATCCCCAGAATCCTCCTCCTCCTAAAAGCTGTTAGCCCCACCCTAACACAGAGAATGTGCTCCTCCACCCAGTGGTCATTCTCCAGCTCCCATATCTACTGCTGATTACAACACAATGTGTGGCAGATAGAGGGGAGGTTGGGTGGGTTATGTGAATTCACAGATAACCACTTAAAGCATCACAGTTACAGTTAAGTAACCTATCCTCCTTCGTGGTCTCTGGGATTCACACTAATGGGTGACTAGTAACCTCACTTATCAGCTGGTGAGATTACAAGCCAACACTGAAGATCTCACTGACTGACCAATGCATCAAGCTTCACCCTGATGTCTAATTTGTAATGCTTAACAAACCTCACAGACTGGGACCAAGTAGCTGCCGTCTAAATTTCTTTCGTCTGAATGCCTTTCAAAATAGCTGTGCAGGCAGTCTGTGCCCTAGAAGAATGTCCCTTTAAAAATTCAGGTAATGGCTTCCTTGTCAACTGATAAGACAAACTAATAGCATTTACTAGCCTCTTGGATATTCTTTGAGAAGATCCATTAGTTCAAAAGGTGGCTTCATCATTTGTTGGAAAACAAAGTGTCATGCACCCATTCCCCTGTTTGTTTCTCCACACAACCCAGGTTCACTTTCGAGTGTGACATTTATTTTTTAATCCTTTTCTGCTGCCACCAGAGGAGATATTCCTCACTATATCAAATAGGACTCTTCAATCAGTGCTATTCAATTAAACAATATTTATTAAAGTGTTCACAAGTAAATCATGTAAAGTAAATCATGGATGGTCTTATTTTATTCATTCAATCAACTGTGCTTCGGTAACATTTATGTTTGCTTAGATAGAATCATTTTAATCAAGGTATTTATTCATTTCTTTTCTCATTCCCTATCTCTCTATTACTCTTCACTAACACAAGACTGGTCCTAACTGCCTAAACTGCATTTCTCCAACACCAGTCCCTAACTCATCCCTACTTCTTCCCTAACTGCTTCAAACTCAGACTCTAACTGCTCTTTAACTGTCATCCATTCTCTTATATATCCCTAGTCCCGCCTTTTCTGTACAGCCATTGGCTCCTGAATCAGGGTTCCATTGTGATGGACAGGAGTGGTTACTGACCTGTCTGTCACATCAAGGATAGTGATAATTGAGGTACGGGTCCTTTGACTTTAAGTATAAATTTCTTAAATCTTTCACAAATCTTTTTAGTGTTTCATCCTTGAAATACTGAAAAGCAAATGAATCTTATTTCCGATTTGCCACTATGGTAGAAAGGTAGACTTTTAAAGAGGAATGTGAGAGTCCCTTCTCTTTGAAATGCAGGAGAAAATAAAGAACTTTATGTGATGATGGAGAGTAATAGTAATCTTCTCCCACTGCAAATGAAATAAGCCTGTTCCATTAATACATGTCTGCTTTTCTTGTTGGTGGCTTTCTGCCCTCAACAAGTATTCTTTTAATCAAAGGTAAACCCTACAAGCTGTCAGCTTTAGTTTGTTGTGGTATTTATTTATTTTATTTTATTTTATTTTATTAATTTATACCCCGCCTATCTGGTCGGTGAGGATCACTCTAGGCGGCTAACAACAATAAAATACAATAACAATATAAATGGCTTTCTTCTGCTATAGTTTCAAAATCATCCTATGGATCATTGGAAAGGGTGGGAAAAGACAGACTACTCGTTTGTGCATGGAATAGTAAAACAGTCCCTGAGCAATTTCTTCTTGTCACCTGCCCAAGAACAATATTTTAGATACTGTATTGTTTGTTCTTTACCATCACAAACAGGTCTATTTGAGGCCAGCTCCATCAATTCTTTATGTCCTGGAAACAAGAGGGAATAACTCCCACTGTTGCAACTGTAATCTCTGCTGGCTCAATCAGTCTGCTATGTGGTTGTCCTCTCCTGGACAGAAATTGGATAGATGTGCCTTTGAGTGTGCCACTCCCAGAGAAGAACTGTTAAATATAGAAGAGTCATGGAGTGGGTGTCCCCTTATTTGTTTAGAAAACATTGTAGTGGAACTGTCTGTATTTCCCTGCACCACCCTGGCCAGAAGTATTGGGTCAAAAGCTCTGAAAGCTTTCGCAACTGTCAGCATCTCTAGTATGTTGATCTGCAAGTTCTTTTCTTTCTGGGTCCATAAAGTAATCTGCTTATCCTGGCAGTGGCCACCCCATCCTGATGGGATGGTGTTTACTGTTATAAGAACCAAGAGTTTTGTGATTGAATGTTTTCTCATCAACAGGCTTTCTGCATTCAACCACCAAATAAGTTGCTCTGCTAACTCTGAAGTTATCTGGAGCTTCTTTTGATTGCTCTCTCTCTCATGATTATCAAGAACGGCAGAAACCATACTTGCAAGGACCTCATTTTTAGTTTGGCATGGATGATAACAGCTGTGGTGGCCACCATGTACCTCAGCTTTAAGCCATGTGTGTCATTATTAGCACATCTGCTTGGAACTTTACTACTAAAGCTAGTTTCTAAAGCAGAAAGTATGCTCTTGCTGTTTTTGAATTCAAAACAGTACCTATGTACTGAATCACTCTTGTTGATTTTAAATGTGCCTTTAAATATTTCTTCCTCCAAAATCTAAGATGGTGTTTTTGTTCTGTAATGCCCTACTGGTGAGTGAGTAAAAAAAATTATTGCATAGCCCTGGGCTATGATGGATAACATTCAGTTGTTGGAGGCGATGGTGCGCCAAGTGTTGACATGTGGTGCTAATGTCACTGTTAGTTATTGACGGCAAGGGTCTACTAAAGTGTAGGTCTGAATATCAGGAAAGTTAAAAACAGCTTTTTAGTTTTCTTCTCTGCTCTTTCTGATTCACCTGAGGAGTGGAGTTTAGTTTGCTTTGAAGACTGCAGGGCTGGGCTACTGCAGTTTTGGGTGTTCTCTTCCTTCCTGAGAATGATCAGCTCAAAGGATTTTAATAACATATTTTGCAAAAAGGTTTGTATTGTCTTTCTTGTTCACATTGATACTGAAAGGAGAAACCCATCCATTTAGTAGTGTTTCTCTTTTTGAACAGGTTGTCCATCACACTGTTTGCTTTTTCGGTGAAAACACCTTCCCTGTCAAAAGGTTTGATTTTATCCATGGATGTGATCTGAGTATCAGGATCTAGGGATGTACCAAAGGTAAGTGAATCCAGAATACTTTAGGCATTTTTTATTTAAGTTGCTTCCTCTTTTTTTCTAAAACCTTATGGTCAGACTCAACAGGTTGATATTGATGGCGGGATTTTTATTTTAATCTCAAACTGTGAGGACCTTGAGAAAAAGATTCGAATTCAGCGTTGGAGACCTGGAACTGAAGGCATCAAGTCTGCAGTTTTTATGGGTTCTTTTCACTCTCAGTATTAAGGTTGCTCCATGTCAGTGAGTGACTAAAAGCTGGGGAATAGCTATGGGAAAGACATGGAACCTCATCTTCCTCTGACACCAATTCCACACAAACCAGTTCATCCTTTTCTTTGTCTTCTCATGTAGTTGGCTGCGGGGCCATAGACTGAACTGCTAGGGATGACAACTGTTTGGATTTGATCTTAGACTTCTTAATCTGTGGCTGGTCAGAGTGAGGTCTCTTCTGTTTCTTTAATAGTGATTATGTCAGTTTCAAAGCGGACAGTATCAAAGTAGATCCTTTCGATGGGATGTCTCCAATACTTGCAGAACCAATTCCTCCTGAAGGATTTCTGTGACATCAGTCTGGACGGATTCTGGATGGACCCCACAAGTGCCTCTTTTGAAGGCATTTTACAAATTGCAAATACCAATGTCAATGTTGAACTCTGTTTTGAAATGGTATCAACTCCCTGTAGAGATTTCTCCCAAAGATATAATTTAAGCCTCCTAAATTGTAAAGACACTTCAAGTGTCCATTTGTAAGAGGGATTTTTTTCTTACAAGTGATGCACCTCTTAAACAGGGCCACAGAGGCCACAAACAGTGGAAGTGAAGACAGACAATGAATATATAACCTTTTTCTTTCAGATGATGAAATAGGATTAACTGAGGAGGAAAACTCAAAGAAAAAGGTATGAGTTTGTAACTATTTACAATTTTCCATATAGGTTAGGCTCCAGATGATCACTGAGGTATTGCTTCAGCAGCAATCACAATGGAACTGGATAATAAGCGATAGCTGGAGGAGCATGTGTTATGAGAGAAGGTGGGACTAACAGCTTTTAGGTTCTAGACAATTCTGATGATGTTTCCACAAGAGCAGAAGAACAATGGTTGTTGTGGATTTTTCGGGCAATTCTGCACTCTCTCAAAGAGACCACAAAGAATTCTACTTTCAAGAGAGACAGACACTGGTTTTCATGTAAAACATTTATAGTATAGAAACACTTCACCAACAGGTTATGTTCCTCCCTGATCCCATTTGGTAAATGTGACATAACTAACTGAAGCTTAATCACTTGACAGAATCCCTCAAAAGAAGTGGGATATGTCTGCAAATGGCAGAGATTATGGGGTGACATTCTGACAGATGTTACCATCTTCCTAACCATGAAAGCAGGTACCTACATTTGCTTGAGTTGTTGAGCAATCTAATTATATGGACACCAACGTGTTTATTTTGTACTTATATACATTAATAAACCTTAGAAAACCATTGGTACTGACATTTTACAATACATGCAGGCAAGAAAATATTGTTTCACTAACATTACACTGCATATATAAGTAAGCAGAACACATTTCATCCCAGAAATCTATTTTTAATGTAAAAAGAGAGCAAACAGAATCTTTATATACATAAACTGCCAAAATGAGCAATTTTCTACCCATTGTGACTGTGGCAATTATTCATTAAAGAACACAGACTATGTCAGGTGAATCTTAGAAACCAAATGAAGTGCTGGCAAAAATTTAGCTCTCCAGTGCCCTACATCAGCCTTCCACAATCTTGTATACTCTAGAAGTGGTGCACCACAAACTCCTTCATCCCCAACTCCCTTGACCAACAGCTAATCTAAAATGCTTTTTCTATAATTAAGTGGCACTGAACAATTCAGGCAAAGTTAACAGAAAGCAGGCCAAACTTCATGGTTTATAGCTAGCAACTTTCAGCTTTTATTGTTAGAGAAACTTTGTTACTATGACAGATCTGCCCCTCCTCCACCACACAGCACAAAGTAATTGCTGCATAGATTTTACTTTATGTGTGAAACAATGTATTATGAAAAAAAATATTAAAACACCTTTTTAAAAAAGTGTTTGTTGAAGCATGAATTGCAAACAGAACAGCTTAGCTTCTTGATTTGCTCAGGATGTTTTCCTTGATTTAGGTCTACATTATAATGGCAGTCATGACCCTACCTTGTTTATCATCACAAGGGAAAGAGATTTGTTAATGCTTACCAACAGTCTGTCCTTTCTCAATTAGGAAAGTGTGCATACTGTAAATGTCTCTCATCAGCTCAGCATCTCCAAAGGTGAAATAAACAACATCTCGTCCAGCTTCTGCAGCTGCCATCATTTGTATTAATGCTGAAAGAAATTCAGGCAAGGAGGGGGAAAAGGGCAACTCCAATTTTCAACTGTTGTTCTTAGAACTGTTTCAGAAAAGGCTAACAAAAACATCTTTATTTGCTCTCATTACCTCATATGTCCTGAGGAGCAAACTGAAGTTCTAACCATAAAGAAGCTGCTGCCATGGGTATTTGACATTGGCTAGATTTACTGAGGTACCCAGTGTGATGTAGTGGATAATGGACTTAGGACTCAGGGGACCTCAGTTCAATTCCCTGGCTCTGGCATGGAAACTCACTGGGGTTGAGGGAAGAACTGATAAAACCACTCCTTAAATATCCCAGTTACCTTGAAAACCCTATTAGGGTTACTATAAGTCAGTTCTGACTTGATGGCATATAACAACAACAAGTTTATTTGATATTATCTATAAAAGATGCCCAGACTCATCTAGATACCAATTTGTCATTTGGAATGCTCCCATAGCCTTCTGCACAGTTCACCGTTCAGTTTTTTAAATGAGACACACCCTTGATTACCGTGATGCCCAGAGTAGACACGTTCTAGACGGGCGGTACAGAGGGGTCTCTACTTACAAACGACCCTACTTGCAAACAATTCAACTTACAACCCAGCCCTATAGGGGAAATAAGGACTCGACATACGAACTTCCCTCGAGTTACGAACAGGAAAAAAAAGTGCCCCCTCCTTCCCCTTAGAGGCTTCTGGAGGGGGGAAAAGGGCCAGAAACTTAAAAATAAATAAAAGAAAGTCACTTACCAGGCCTTGGTAGCCCCCCAAACAGCAGGAAAAAGAGCAGGAAACAGCTAAAAGCCCACACCAGAAGGGAGCCTGGCAGCCATTTTGTGCTCCCCCCCCCAAGTAAGTAAGTAAGTAAGTAAGTAAGTAAGTAAGTAAGTAAGTAAGTAAGTAAGTAAGTAAGTAAGTAAGTAAGTAAGTAAGTAAGTAAGTAAGTAAGTAAGTAAGTAAGTAAGTAAGTAAGTAAGTAAGTAAGTAAGTAAGTAAGTAAGTAAGTAAGTAAGTAAGTAAGTAAGTAAGTAAGTAAGTAAGTAAGTAAGTAAGTAAGTAAGTAAGTAAGTAAGTAAGTAAGTAAGTAAGTAAGTAAGTAAGTAAGTAAGTAAGTAAGTAAGTAAGTAAGTAAGTAAGTAAGTAAGTAAGTAAGTAAGTAAGTAAGTAAGTAAGTAAGTAAGTAAGTAAGTAAGTAAGTAAGTAAGTAAGTAAGTAAGTAAGTAAGTAAGTAAGTAAGTAAGTATGCAAGACATATGGCATTTGAGAATTGTTATAATGTGAATGAACCAATCAAGCAGCCAATGAATGCAACACTATCTAATCTGTGTATTTGCAATGCAAAATATATCCTACTCTCTACATAGATTATGATAAAGACAAAGTCTATAATAGGGCAATTAACTTTAACAGGATATAATTTAAAAGAATATAGACTTAATCAGCAATTTTAAACAAAAGAGCCTGTTTGGATAGGGAATGGATGGTACACATTGTGCATCTGGGGTAAAATAATAGGAACAAAGTTACTCCAATATTTTCCAAGAAGAGTTTAGTGTCTTCCTTAAGCAAGGATGAATGGACAACTTCTATTCTGCAAAGTTGAATTTAATTCCTTATCCTCATGCAGCAATGCAGATGGTTAGTACAGGGGGCAATTATGGCCAGATTTTTTTGGCCTATAATTCTCATAGGTCCTAGCCAGCATAGCCAATGATGAAGAATTATAAGAAATTCTGTCCCCAAACATCTGGATAGGTATGATTTCCCAACCTGGTTTATGGACTGAAACACAATTGAAATGACACAAACAACTTATTTTGCACCCAACATTGTGAGAAAATTAGCTAAGGGATTTCTGCACTTTCCCACTCACTACTGCTCTGACTGTCTTTTTCTGTTAGGTGCTCTATCTTTATCCTTGAACAAGGAATATATTAAAGTAGCCTTTCCCCCTTAGTTTCAGATAAAATTCATCGAAATAAAAAGTTGCCTTGTAAATTTTAAATACATAGGATTTCAGCTAATGTTGGTAATGCTTTGACTAGAAAATATATGAAACACTGTGGAAAAGTTTATTACTATTGTTTTTTCTGATATGACATACACCTATAGATGTTTTATATCTTTTCTGTGGTGTGACAGCTGATTGTTGAACTGTCTTTTTTAAAGGGGTATCTTTTATTTCAGGAGTGACTTTGAAATTGCAATACTGTTTTTGTTGATTCAAGTATTAACCACATAAAGGGACAATTTAAACACACTGGTGTGAGAAAACATCATATTTAATCAAGGTAGTCTTGGAAACTCACAAGTGAATTACTAACTGCCCCCATGACATATCAAATCAATCTCCTTTAAGAGCTTGTGATTTAATCAGTCTACCAAGCAATCTTTGGAAAGCTTAGGAACTTAGTGTTTATGGAAGCACCTAATTCATCAGGGAACATGAGGTGTGCAGAAGAATTTAGAAAAATTTAGCAGCAACTATGTCTGGTGAAAAAAGAAAAGATTTGCTTATGGAACTGACAGTAAAATGGTTAGGGAACAATGCTATAACATCATGGCATTGTAACAGAAAATTTCTTTATGCAGACTGAGAAACACAAATATGAAACAAGTCCAGACTGGGCAGAAATAGGTTAAGGACAGATTGAAGGCACATGGATGGCTAACATTTTGGTCTTCAATCAATTCTGCTATGCCACAGCTAACTCTATTATTTTCTGTTAGCTGAATTGCCAGGTTTATGAGGCTTTTTCTCTAACTGAATGCTCCCACATATATAAGGAATAAAGTGTGGTCTGGTTCATACAAAAGAATGTAAATTGGACTGCATATTTAGTAAGAAGCCACTGGCAATGGTGCGGCTAAAAAATATTGTAAATAAATATAAATAAATAAATGTTTGAATGCCTGCAAAAGGAGTCCCAACAGCCAAACAGATCCTCTCTAAACATCCCCTTGCCCGGTGCATGGAGAGATTTATCACTGCCAGTTCCTTACTAATTTGCCAGCACCCCCATGTATCTTCCAACACAGAACGAGGGCGTATTTCACTTCCTCTCTTTGCTTGTCTGCTATCTGCTGCTCTATCCCACATATGAAAAATCAGGGAGAAGCAGCAAATGATTAAGAGAAGAAAAGCGAGCAGCGGAAAGCAACTTGTTTGCTTTACACCTTGTATTTTACAAACTTTATCCATAAACAGAGTAACATTACCTTTCAGTCTTGCATCACCTCCAAAGGCACCACATCCCCAGTTTCCTGTAGCTACTGCTGAAAGGTGATGTGATGGGACACCAGATCGAGAGAAACCACAATACGCCTGCAAACAGAAAAGAAGCTCACATCAGTTTGCCACTTAGACTTGTCAAGCAAATGTGTACTGTTATCAAGATCACAAAGAACATCAGTTAATCAATCCCTGCATGCACATCGTGTATGCCAATGAAATCCTTCACATGCACTTTACTGAAGTATGTCACATGGTTACCACAAATGCCCTTACAGTCTACAAAGAGTGACAGTCAGGATAAGGCAAGAGAGGCAGCAAGGACTGGTTGTGCCCATTTTTGGAAAGTGACTAAGCTAATGTTTATCCAAACAAATTTTGTGTTAAATTTTTATATATGTTAGACAGAACTGCAAGCACCTACATACTAGCAACATCCTAATAGCAATATGCCCTGGAATTCTTATTTGGCAGTGATACAGTTTACAGTTTCCCCATAAATCTAAGTTTATGTTAGCTAATGAAATGTAAATGTCACTTGTCTAAAGTGCAGTCTGCCATTTAGAGCCCACCACAATCCACATGCGCAGGGTCGATACAGCAGAAAAATGTAAAAAAAGTCTATGCTAATATATGATTTGCATCTTCCATCTCAATGTGATTGAATATACAAATGTTGATGTCAGATGCCTAGAATAGGTGATTTAGTTTTTCAATTAAGCTGTCAGTGAAGTTTACTAATTTTATTTACTGTTTCTTGCAATTTATTTTATTACTATCTGTGATGGGATCTGAAGTGACATTCAACATGAAGTACTAGCTATTCTTTCGATTCTTGAAAGCACAGTTAATCTTAATTGTCCTGTGCCTGAAGTCTAATACTGAAAGGTATGTATGTCTGATAGAAAATGTTATTTTTTTAAAAAATGCATGTCATACTATATTGAAGAGCCTTAACATATATGGTAGGATCAGATTATTCAACTGTCCCTGGATTATTAGCCATATTCATATGGCAACAATGAATATATATTACAAATGGCAGAAAACTGGTATGCTTCTGTGCTCCCCACTCACCTCTCTGCTGCAGCTGCCCTGAAGAACTTAATGGCTAACGAGAGTGAGAACTTTAGTTTACCATTTTGCAGGCATTTAATATGTTGCATATGATTAAAAGCTCTGTAAACTGGTTTAAGAATAAATCTTAGAAATGCTCTTTTAACATGCATTATTTATTTGAAACATATCCAAACTTTAGAATGACACTCTACTTCTACGAAATAAGAAAGGATCTTTGAAGTCATTTAATGCAAGATTATATCCCAGTTACATTTCAAGACCGTCTCAAATATACCTTGCTATATTTTCTATGATTGTTAAATAAATAGTCTAAAGCACCCATCCAAAGTACAATTTTTGTGGACTATCAGACTGGGCTTCATATTTTTCATCTAGAAAAATGAACTCACCATTCTGCTTTTTGAAGCCCAGTCCGATAGTCCACAGAAATTGTACTTTGGACGGGTGCTTTAGACTATTTATTTAACAATCACAGAAAAATATAGCAAGGTATATATATTAAGACAGAATCACCTACCAGCTAGATTTAAACTGGCAAGCTTCGATTTTAATCTTACCACTGAAAATATGAATAACACCCTGTGTGAACTGACACTGCAATTAAGGAAGAAGTCTCCCTTGAAGGAGTTGTTGACACTGCAAAAATTATTGGACAGCAAAACTCAAACGCTAATGAAATGGCTGCAAATAAATGCTGGGCGTTAGACTGCAGGATGGATTAAGGAGTTACTGGCCTTGTTGAGCTCTCTTCTAATTTTCTCAGGAGCAAACTGATCAAGGAAACGTCTGAAATGAAATGCATCTATGGCAACAATTTCTGTGCAGCGTCTCTGCCATTCATCCCTGCATGGGGAGGGGGAAAGAAAGATGGACAGTAAAATTAACTGTGATAATATTGGTCATATAAACAAGATTGAAAATGAGTTCATCTCTCAGGGGCTTTACCAGTGGTGAAAAACACAGACATAATGTCAGCGAGAGGCATTGTGGTAATAGATCAAGACTGGACTTCATCAAATGGGGGAAAGAGGATGGGGGAGGAGGCATGACGTTTCCCCGTAGATTTAGAAATACATTAATTATACACTGTGACGACTGCAGCCCAAATGTTAAATAATGGGTAAGATGTGAGGTCCATAATTTTTAAAGATTTGTACAGATTCCCTGGGTAAGCAAGAAAAATGTTACATTTTTTTTGTTTTCTGTACTACTTCAGTAACATGAATACAGCATATATGTTTTCAGAACTGTTACTAACCCTGGAGCTCTCTCAACGCTTTCATCATTTTTAACTTTATATAATCTTAGGGACAGTGCTGACCCTGGTGAACCCTCTCCTCTGCAAAAGCAGCTTACAAGTTCCCTTTTTGGCACTGCAGTTGGAGAAATATGGCAGAATCATGGAGCCAGTTGACATGGGAGTTAAGAATCCTTTACGAAATTAGAAAAAGGATTATTGCAGAGCAAGAAAACTGAATTACACCAGTGAAGGTTATTTACACATCTTGCCTTTGAAAACATGGCAACCCTCGTGAATCACATCCAAGAAAACACCACCCTGATAATAAACTCCCTTTGACTATGAGAAAAAAATAGTTAACACTACATTCTTTCTTCATATGTTACTTTTCTCTCAGCGATGGGGCAAATGTATTTTTATTCTCTCCAAGTACACATCAGATGTGCTTCAAAAGCCCCAGAGAATCTTTCTAAATCAGAGGTGGAATCATGATTCTCAGCAACCCAAATTCTTTATAACAAGTCCCTGAGAATAAGGTCAAAAGTATAAAGTATGGGAAAAAATGACAGACTCCTATAAGTTGCTCTTTCTAATAGCTAATTTAGCTGGTGAGTGCTGACAGGATGATAGCTGAACATGGCTACTGATAGACAAGAGGACGGAATCATCCGCAGACTGATGGGAATCCAAGGTTTGCTGAAGTTTAACATCCAAAAAAGAGGGAGGGGACAATCTCCACATGTAAAGCAACCTAATGAAGATGGAGCATGCTCAGTAGCTGCAGGCTGTGGAATGACAGAGAGAAAGAAAATGAAACATGGAAAAGCCAGTGTGGAGTTGGGGATAGTGAGTGCAAATGTCTTGTTTAAATGGAATTAATGGCTGAAACAAGAATACTCATTTTAGGAAAAAGGCTGTAGTGCATTTCAATAGTTTGTTACCTGTCACACTCCTATTACACTAACATCTGTCTCAGTTATCTGAAGTCAGCTTGTAACAATATGAAGGCACTGAATATCTGGTGTCATAGGTGAAAATGTCAATAGTTGTTTATCTGCAAGAACATTACCTGGGTGTTTCATCTTCATGACTCCTGGCCCAAAGATAGGTTTCTGCATATCCAGTATATTCACTATATTGTTCTGTACCTGAAATAAATTGTTGAATTACACAACCCATTTTAGTTGACTGTTTCCCTTTCCTCTGTAAAGATATCCTTATCTTTCATAATGCTAACAGGATGGCTATACCATGAGGTGCAGGGGTGGGCAGGAGGAAAAAAAGTTAAACGCCATATGAATAAGAATGTCAGTCCTGTTTGTTGAACAAAGCTGTTATAGTCTGCTATCCACTACATTCCTATAAGTCCTCTTTAAAAAATTACGGCTGCTGCTATTGTGAAGGTACATCAAAAATAAAGTCTGCATGCCTTACACATGGGAAATGAGCTTGTCAAGAGGCAAAACATGTTTGAATAATTGAATAGTATAGGCATGAAGGCTGGGAAATGTGAAAAAAGTGTTTGGTTAGCATTATTGTAATTTACTGTCTTGTTGAAACAAGGGAAGGTTGTCATGCTTGATTGGAATAAAAGGCCAGGAAAGGTTGCACTGTCTCAGGGCTGGGAACTCTGCAATGGGCTCAGAATCAGCGATTCCCTCATACAACACAGACAAAAAAGCAAGTCTGCCGTTGACTGAAAAAATAATGTAGAGATTTCTAAAACATGGGTCAGAAAGTTCATCAAAACCAAATCGCGGTGGTTTTGCAAATAAATACATATAGTTACTACCAATTACTACATACCCCAGGAGATAAACACCTATCCATATGTCACCTGTTTTTCTGTGATAAATACCAACATGCTCTGGGAGGTAATTATTAATATTTGTTTTTAAGTTAAAATAGCAAGAGCGCAGCTAAAAATCTACCATTCCTCCACATTCATAGCTCAAGAGATCTGCAACTAGGTTCTGTAGGTTTGAGTTAAACAGATTCTGTTGGGTCACACTGATGTGTCTTCACAGAACAATATATTATTTAATTAATTAAAATATTTCATTGATACCTTTCAGACCTCTAAAGCCCATCTCTATGTTAGCAACATCAAAGATTGTATAGGATTGAAAATAAACGTGCACATTGCTTCTTGTTAAAGTAATGTAACATGAGAAATTACAGCAGCACTCAGAATATGCTTTATACATATTGATCCATCATTTTCTGAAGGAAAAACAAGGGGTAGGAAAAGTTATATTGATAGAGGTGCAGGAGGAGAGAGGAAAACAGAAAGAGAGAGAGAGAGCACATATGGCATAGCTTAAAGTTTATTTCCAAGTCCAAAGGAGAAAAAGGCTTTACAAGGTAGGCTACTGTGACTTTTACTATTTGGCTTTTGGCAGAATCACAACTCCCCCTTGGGGAGCCAGTCTGGTGTAATGGCTAGAATGTCACATTAGGACTCAGGAAACCTGAATTCAAATCCCCACTCTACCATGGAAACTCACTGAAGGATGGCAATGAACACCTCATATACCCTGAAAACCATTAAGGGTCACTGTAAGCCAGAAGGGATGTGACAGCACATAACACAAAGATGCAACACTCTTCCAGGCCACACAATATACTCTATTTAATTAATATGACTGTAATTTCTCCCTCCCTGATACTTATCCACTAGCTCTGATACTGCAGATACCATTCCTTCTCCAAAGTTCCGGTCCCTCACTAGAGCCAAATTCTTATTTCTTAATGAAAGCTCCACAGAGCTCAGCTGGAAACGGAGCGAGAATGCAAGAGACAAAAATCCAGTAATCCACCTAGTATATGTACAAATATGTCAGCTTTCAGCCTCAAGTGGCCAACAGATTGATATTGGGAAGCTTAATCTTAAGTACACATGTTTATCTATGTCTTAAGAAATTGGATTCATAAATGGTTGTCATTTTCAAGGTCAAAATCTATATGACCACTCATCCCAGCTGTACTTATCTTTCTATACAGAGCTGCTTTTCAAGCACTCCGTCAAGAAATGTAATTCATTAATATGGAAGTTATATGTGTCAACGTTTTTCGATCCACTCTTACCAAAATTCCATACTAGAAGTAGACTAACATGTGATGTTAACATGTGATACATTTAGATAACCCCTCAATCACTGTGCCAGAAACAATACTGCTATTTAGAATTTGCATGGTATTTCCAAGTGTTCTAAGCACTTGACACAAATGGTTATGGTTGACATGAGAGCCATTTAATTGGATAACATGGTAAAGTCCAACCATTCTTCATTATCAGAGAGGTGCAAATTCAGCACATCACAGATTTTGTTGCACAAACACATCTTGTTTTCTGTGCTGAATCTGGCAGTTTTACATACTAAATTTTCATTTGATTTGATTCTTTATAATCCTTTTTTAAAAGAAACAGCATCAAAAAGCTAGAATCCTTCAAAATAAGTATTGAAGAAAGTCACTGATATTCATAAAGGAAAGCCTAAAATACAGTGGTGCCTCGTATAACGAGTGCACCGTTGAACGATGAATCCGCATTGCGATGCGGATTTCCCCATCGCTAATGCGAGGGCACGCTCGCATTACGATGGGGGAACAGCTGTTCTGCGGCTCCAAAATGGCCGCCGGAACATAAAAAAATGGGTGCCGGTACACCCAAGATGGCTGCCGGAACAAAACAAATGGCCGCTGGTACACCCAAGATGGCCGCCGGAACAAAACAAATGGCCGAAAGAACACCCAAGATGGCCGCCAGAACAAAAAATGGCCGAAAGAATACCCAAGATGGCCGCCAGAACAAAAAAAATGGCCACTAGTACATCCAAGATGGCCGCCAAAACACAAAAACGGGCACTGGTACACCCAAGATGGCCACCGGGACGCTCAAAATGGCCACCGGTACACCCAAGATGGCCGCCAGAACAAAAAATGGCCGAAAGAATACCCAAGATGGCCGCCAGAACAAAAAAAATGGCCACTAGTACATCCAAGATGGCCGCCAGAACACAAAAATGGGCACTGGTACACCCAAGATGGCCGCCGGGATGCTTAAAATGGCCGTCGGTACACCCAAGATGGCCGACAGAACAAGGGAAAACATCGGAGAACGGTGAGTTTTGGGCCCATTTGGGGTTTTTGATCCGTTTTACGATGTTTTCCCACAGCGAAGGTTAATCCGGAACGGATTAACCTCGCTATGTGGGGCACCACTGTATTCCAGAATGTCTGCTACGTAAAAGGCAGTACTCTCACCTGACATGTCCAAGAAACTAAATCAACAATAAAACTGTGAGAACTACTTTAAAACCAACTGCAAGGCCTATTTCATAGCTAAGTTCACTTTTTTAAAATCACTGTTGGTTTTTGCTCAATTACCTGTGTGTTGCCAATGTCTTCTGCAAAACATGAAAGCCCCAAACAATCACACTGGGAAGGGACAGGAAAATATAAAAACTTTTATTCAAGTATTAAAAGAAAAAAGAATCAATAAAAGAAAAAAAACATGTCCTAAAAGAATGTTGGAAAGTTATCACTAGGGATGTGCAGTAGCACCAAAATTTGGATACAAATTTGGAATTTTAAAAATTCAGAATTTCTGGATATCTGGAACTCCATTACAGTCAATGTGAATACCATGTAATCATTATTCCCTCCCCTTTTAAAACACACACGCACAAACAGGCAAAAAATTCTAAAAGGATTTGCCTGTGTCCTTTGATACCTTCCCAGTGGATTGTGCCAAACAAAAGAGTGCACACCAATACCCAACAGTGCCCAGGTATTAGGAAATAAACTGTAGAGGGCATACAGACTGAACTCTAAACAATGGATATGCCAGCAGCACTCAGGAAGCAGAGGGCAGTTCAGACTGGGGAGTGGGCAAATACCCTGGGAAGCACTGGCAGGCAGATTGCAGCAGCAGGTAGCCTGTGGTGGGTGGGAATTGTGCCAACAGCAAGGGACACAGCATTGTTGAGTGAGTGAGCACAATCTCAGAGCAGAAGTTGGCAGAATGAAAAAGGCAAGAAGAGGGGGCAGCAGACTGAAGTGTGCCATACCTAGTACTGTGAGCAGGTATTCTCTCTTATTTAAAAGAGATTTCAGAGAAGTTCCAGAATAGTAGGTTGACCTTATCTCTTAACTTCTCAACTTAACTTCTCTCTTAACTTCAACGGAACGGGACACTCCTGGTTGATGTCATCGAACACCAGGTTGGCATCCGTGGATGAGGGCTGTTCGGTGTCGAGATTCAGGGCTTGTGCCACTTGAAAAATAAGCGTAGAATTGGAGGAGAAATCATCTGAGGAGGACGAAGCATGGCTGCTCCTCGTACAGTGGTGCCTCGCTTAACGAGCGCACCGCATAACGACGAAATCGCATAGTGATCCGTTTTTTCGGATCGCTAATGCGATCGCTCAATGTTTTTCTAATAGGGCTAAATTCGCTTTGCGAAGACCGGTAAGCGTTTCGCTTACCGATCTTCGCAAAACGAAGCCCGACGATCAGCTGTTCGGCGGCCAAAATGGCCACCGGAAGCCCGGAAATGGCCCAAAATGCCCATGCGCGGCATTTTCGCGCCCTCGTTAAGTGAGGCGAGGGCGCGAAAATGGCTGCCGGCCATTAAGAAGCTTCGCTGAACGGTGAGTATTTGGCCCATTTGGAACACATTAAACCATGTTTAATGCGTTCCAATGGAAATCCCTGCCCCGTTCAACGATGCTTCAGCATAGCTAAGGTTAATCCGGAACGGATTAACCTCGCTATGCGAGGCACCACTGTATCTGGGACTGGAGGGGGAAGCTCAGGCTCATGGGAGGACTCAGAGTGTTGTGCCTCCGAAGATGCAGGGGAGCCTGGAGATGAAGGGTAGCCTGATGGACCAAAGTCCTCTGTCAGAGGAGCTTGGTGTTGTTGGATTGGCATGCCTTCAAAGGGGCCTTGAGATGGTATCGGGTCCGGCATGGATGGTGCTGGACGTAGGGGTACGGCCTCACGAGCTCTGTCTCGAACTTGGGTTAGAGGCATTGGCTTAGATGGGGCAGGAGGGCATACAGGCGGAGCTGAAGCCGTCGGGGCCAAAGTGGTCACGAGGAGGCAATTCGGGTCCACGAAAGGGACGGCATGGGGAAATTCT